TCTCTCTCTCTCTCTCTCTCTCTCTATTACAATGTGTGTGCTTATTATAAATTGCCAACCAGGTCCAGAAGTAGAGTTGTACGGGTGGGTTGGGATTGGGGTTGTTGACATGCAAGTGGCCGTGCTTGTGTTATAATTTAAGCACATACTTTCCAGCTATGCGTATCGGAAGGGGTTTAAAAATATTCTTAGAGGAGCGGAGTTGATGGGCTTTGTGACTTTGACCAGAAGGAAATGTTTGTCAATTCAAACTGGCGGTCTTGTCTCTTCTTTATATTTTTTTCTAGTCCTTCTGTCGGCCAGAAGTCTGTAGTCGATACGACTTCTTTACTGGAATCTTTACACGATATGACCAAAATTGATACATTTTTGTCTCGCTTCTCAGTTTTTCACGTTGCTCTCTAAGCTCCTCCAGGTGCATGCAGTTAGCGGAAAATCTGTGCTCTATTCCTCTACTGGTACAAACGCCTACTATTTAATAAGGAAAATAAACCTTTAATATTTGTATTCCTCTTTATCAACTTTTTGAGAGGAGCTTGTGTTGTTTGAGCCAGAGATTTTGGAATATTAAAGAACGTTAACACTTTATATAACGTAGCTTTCCCGAAAATTCTTGCACGATCTCAGGTTTAACTGGCAAAACACTTCTGGGTGTAGTTGGATTGCTGCTAGTCAACTTTCGAAAGTAGTTAAAGAGAGAGGAAGAAATTTGGAAGACTATACCCAAACCTTACTAATAAACAAGGTACATCAACTCGAGATGGGTAGTTAAATTTTTATCTTTAATTCGTTTTAGACACGAAATTTTATATATTCTGGTCAAATATTCATTGGGTATCCGGATTATTGTTTACTCGTTATCATCCCCAGACAAATTTTCTTCTTTGCTTGTGGGCAAAAAAGAAATCCGAAGTTTAAACAACACGTATTGACACGTGCAGCACATGACAGTCTGACACAAGCTGGTAGGGGCAAGTACTTATCCAGTCAGAAAACACTGATTTCACTCGGGGAAAACAGATGATCCATCCAGGGTTTTTTCACTCACTTTTTCTAATTTTTGTATCATGTTCATGAGATATATCAGCACTTATGAATCACGACCTCGTTATTGTTCAAAGATCTGACCATTCTAGAAAGCAAAAGACTTAATCATTCATCGAACCCATCATTTTGCTGTCATTAGACTTATTAATCAGACCAACTCAACTTTGTCGTGTTTGGCGCTTTGGGTCCTTTGATTTGTTTATGATCTTAACCTCATTTTCTAGAGAATGAATCAGCACTGATGTGAGCATTTGATAAGCAAATCTTTTACAAACAAGTATTACCAACATTAACTAGAAAATTCTTAGTGTTGAATATTGGAAATCAAACTTTTCATGTAAAAACAGGGGATATGAATTATGATCTATAGATATATACATGTCATGTGACATGTCGCCACGAGCAACTCAAAATTTATCTTCACAAATATAATTCATTTTAAGGAAAGATAATAGCATGT